AGGGGGGCCATAGATATGGAAAATGCACCCAGAAGTGTTTCTTTTTTTCTAAATCTCTCTAAAAAGGTCAAACTTCACTTGTTTTTGCATCAATTTTGACACAGGGTACTTATTATATGTTATAATTTGGATTCCTAAAGCTTTTAGTATACTATCCCATCATTCAAGGGTGGTTTTCACTATAAGTAATGTTTTTTTTTTGGGCGGACACTATAATTGAAATGTTTTTACTATGTTCAATCTGAATTTACTTTAAAATAAAAAAATGCTATATTGATTCTGAATTTTCTACATCCAGCTCATGTTTATCATTACTTTGAGAACAAATATTATTAATTTACCCCTTTTAGAAGTGAAGATATAGTAATTTGTTCTGGGAATGTCATTTTCGAGCCTGAGGCCTGACAAACAGGCTCGGGGCTCAACTGGTGGAGGTATATACACATATTGATAGATGTCTTGTAATGCACTGTTGAGGAACCTGTGACCCACATTTTTCCTTCATTGCATAACTACACCATAGTTGTGTATATGATATGCCAATAAACCTTTGAAAATCTTGAAATCTTGAAAGGGATGTGCAAAATAGCCATTATATGCAGATAAATATTTAGTCTTCTCAAGCACCCACTATCAAATATCTCGCCTGATTGTTTGCACTTGACAATCACCTTCACTGAATTGTACTCAGGTGTAATTAAAGTCTGATTTAAGGGTTGTTTATATTTCACATCCTTAATCCAAATCTGTAAAGTAACTAAAATAAATGTAAAAATACCAGGTTAACCTTAAAGAAAGCCCTCAGGATTACAAAAGACCCCCATCACCCCAGCCACAAACGGTTCTGTCTGCTGCCGTCTGGCAGGCGGTACTGCAGCATCAGGACTAAAACCACCAGACTCAGGGACAGTTTCAGGACTAAAACCACCAGACTCAGGGACAGTTTCAGGACTAAAACCACCAGACTCAGGGACAGTTTCATCCCACAGGCCAGAAGACTATTAAACACCTGCACTTTTGAAACAACATCCATAACATTCATCTGGCTGCCACTTAGAAATGATTGATCTAATATATCATATTCCAATCACTTGTATATAGACTCTTATTGCACTATTTCACTATTTTTCGTTTTGTATTTACTTGCACAATTTTTTCTGTTTATCTGTTTTATTGTGTTGCACTGTTGGAGGAGCCTGTGACCTAATATTTTCATCGTCACAACTACACCGTAGCTATGTACGCATGACCAATAAAAGCCTTGAACCTTGAGTAGAATTACAAAGTAACAAGAAATTGCATGTTTTACATGCTGCTGTACAAAAACATTTGGTGGGGGTGGACTAGTTTGAATCATGTTTTGGATAGTGTGCAGTCGATGGGCTTCATTCCGTTTCAAAGTGCTGTTTGATGCTCGGCGTAACCTTGGCGCACTGCCACTCCAACATCCAATCACAGAGCTTGAGGACTAATCATGGGGTTTGTCAAGCAAAGCACATGGTGTAGTCCCAAACGATAGATAGATAGATAGATAGATCGTACTTTATTGATCCCAAATTGGGAAATTGTTTTTGTTACAGCAGCATAAAAGGCATTTTACAATAAAACAAAATATACAAGAATAGAAATAAAATAAAATAAAATAAAATATAAAATAAAATATAAAATATACATGTCAAAATACAAAATAGAAAATATACATACAGATATTATATATATATATATATATATATATACAAATATACAAATATATATATATTCAAAATATATGGAATTATGGAGTATTAAATATGAAACAGATTATGTGTGAGTAAAATGTACAAGGTGGTTTTATTTCTAGAGAAACTATGGAGCAGAGAGTTCTCTTCCATAGCTGAGGATTATGGGTAGTGTAGTGTCTTCGGCCATCCTAAACTCAGAAAAAACATTTGTTTCTCTGAATCGAAGGGGAAAAACACAAAAGCATTGTACACAATTTAAACCAATCAATGTTGTGTAATTAACAAGGATAAACTGGTGTTTTTGAGTTGATGAGTAGTGCAGATATCACTGTAAAATCAATCGACAGTAAGGAGAATACTTACTTCCGGGTGTAAAATTCTCCGTTATCCAATGAGAATGGACGCTCACATTGCCTTTAACTGCCGCCGACATGGACGGATGCGGTGCTTCCCTGAGCGTCAAATACCGCCACCGATGGGAATACATTGCAATCAGTTGAAAGCTCTTTGCGTCTGTTTATGAAGCTGAAGGAGACTCGGTGCGCCAGAGTTCCCGTTAGAATATTCTTTTGCCGGTCAACATGTCCGTTAAAGTTTAAATCTTCCGGATAAAATTAGAAAAGTGCCGGTCAAAGGTCTTCTTTGTTATTTATTGAGCTTTAAAACAAGTTGATATGATTCGATATTAAACAAACTAATTATAGTAGATTAACTATTCAAAAGTGTACAGTAATTTATAATAACACGGGAATAATAAACGGAGCGCTCTCTCCTTCTCCTGACAGCCTGCCAGTATCATGCAGCTCGCGGATCCAGTAATGAGTGACCCGACAGTAAAACTAAACATATCTATAACTAGTTTAGGTAGTTTGAGAGGTAATTAAAATAGGCTAGCTAAGTGTGATTTTCTAACCAGAAGTGTGTGTTTTGCTCAGCTCACCGCTGCATGTGATTATGCAGAGCTGCGTGTCGACTCGTCAGCAGCAGCTGATCTCGTGTCTCCCGTCAGATTAGACTTTACTCACGTTTATGTCCATATCGATCAGATCTAGCTAGTTCTAGCTAATGATATGACTACCTGCTCATTAAAAGACACCTAAACAATAAGCGTCGCTATGCAACCGGGTGAGGCCACAATGTATAGCGCAGCATTATGCATTTGTTTACATGCCCACCGGAACCCTGAGGCATTACCAACAGATCAACGCACAATCAACCCATACAGGACATCTCTTTCTCCACATTAAGTGTTAGACACATAGACTGTATATATAAAACATTAGAATTGACTATTCTTGTCTGTCACATACTCTTTTGTCTGTCACATAAGTGGCGCAACTGATGCGGTATTGCGCTAAGGGGAAATTATTTTGACCGGACATTTTGACCGGAGAGATTTAGATTTGCCGGTCTTCAGCATATTTTACCGGTCATAGTCCGGTAATTACCGGCTAACGGGAACTCTGCTCGGCGCATCACAACTGCACGCCAAAGGACCCTGACCAAGCGTCGCTACTGGACGATCAGGGAGTGAGACTGTGTTGGACCTTGCATGGCAGAGAACACTGGGCCAGCCTTCACTCTTATCAGCTATGGGTCGACCATGTCATCTGATCTGACACAAGGATAGATATAGAACATAAAGTCTATTTAAAAGATACCTAACATGAGATGGATAGTGAGAATATGTATAAACTCCAAGGTTTCAATGTATTTGAATAATTGATATACCAAGAGATATAAGAAAGCACCATCTTTATAATGGTCTGCCTGACTGAGCACATAACGTTTGGCTATATAGCATAAGTTTTTCTTTATATGTCACATGCTTCATTCTCTACAAACTCTTGGATTCATTTGTTAAAATGTTTGTCTGAAACCAGGCTCCGTGACAGTAACAGTGTTCAGAGAGCTGCTGAAGTCACACACACACACAGCATCATCAAGTTGCATCAGCACTATGTCAAGCATGAATTTCAAGAACACTGCTCAGCTGTCAATGGGCCGTGAATCTGGCTCTCTGGTGACCCTGAACGCTAACTGAAGTATTTGTGACAAGAAGAAGTTTCCAGGGTAACTTCAGGTCCGCTGCATTGGCTTTTCTCTAAGTAATCCTCACAGCGTGTTGCTTAAATTCAGAAAATATGCTTGGAGGATGGAGGCACAGCGGAAGAAGGCAGAACAACAAACCTATCAACAGAATGCTGCAGCTAAAACTGTGGTCTTTTGTTTGAACAATTCTGTCCTTGAAATAAAGTGTTGTTTTCAGACTGAAGTGTAACAACAGTGGGATTTTATGCAAAAAGATTTAATTCCCTTTGAATTTGGCTGATGTCTAAAATAATTACATCCAATGTATTTTCTGAATCACTTTTCTTTGACTATTAAACAAACATTACAAGGTCAAGGAAAGATGCAAAGCGGAATTCGGTTATAGTTTTCTGCTGCGACCTGATTTAGAAAATTCAACAGTGACAAACTCAATGCTGTAGCATGTGTGTACAGAAGAAAAATAAGTTTCTATATCCATAGTAAACGGTTAAAGAGATCCGGATAGTCGACAATGTAAGGAAAAGTCAAGCTGTGTTGCAACTTCTGCTTTAATTAAGTCAAGGTGAATTGAAATGAGAAATGGTTTGCCGCCTATTAACAAATAAACCCTAGGATTGTATTGACTTGTAAGCAACCAAGCAGAACATGCAAGATGTATTCCTACTTTATCTACTCTTAATATAATTAAATGAACAAATCTGAAAACAAAAGGGCATGGGAATAAAACGTCCCATTACTGAGAAAATAAAAATAATATCTTAGAGAGCTGTAGCTACTGTAACTGACTGATAGAAAGGGGTTAGCACGTTGGCTACAGCAGCAGATCACCAACCAGCAGTAAAAGAACAAGTACAAAACAGGCCTTCTCAGTTTATGGTTAATCTTAAAAATGTAAATCATTGGTTTAACGCTGCGTCAATGTCAAATCCTATTTTAGTCAATAGATTGGGAGTCATTGCTTACTTACATTATTTTTATAGAAAAAAAGTGTGTTTTTTTAACCAGTCAACCAAGGACAAGGGCAACGCTGAATGTAAGAGAGGCTCTTGTGTGGGCTGGTTTTCTTAACCATTGCCATGGGCTCCCTGCTTTATCTGAATATAAAAGGAAATGTTGGGCAGTGAACACTGCACTTTGATAGGGCTTTAAATGTGAAAATCTTTAACGCTTGTACTGTAAAACTGCAGAGAAAAAATTGCATTTTATTTAAATATGAATTTCCTTATCATGCTGCTCTGCATCATTCTCCCAAGAGTTTCAACTGATGAAGCCACACATTTAAACGGTAAGTAAACAGTTTCGTCTTAAATCGACATGGACATATTTGGTTATAAAGCTAATTATCTGCATAAGTTCAAGGATTAGAAAAATGACATATAACCATGGAGATTTTAGCAAGATAGCCATTTATATGTCTCATTGAGGATGTTTTTGTATTGTATAGAAAATAAATGGAAAACAAATCATCAGTTGTAAAAAGAAAGTATGTTTTGCTAGCCATCAGATTTCCTACCAGGTGACAGTAATAATGCCTTGAATACAATAATATACAAACATGACATTTTCAACATTCTATACTAAAAATGTTTTTCTTATTTTCTAAATTAATATAATATAACTATTTTCATGATTTTTTTTATATACTATACTATAACTATTTGTCCTGATATATAAAACATACTGTACTATGACTTGTTTAAGATATTAAGGACATACTATACTAGGACTTATTTTGATTATATTTTCAACATACTATACTATTAATGCTTATAATACTATAAACCTGTCCGGTACCACTTTACAATAAGACTACCCTTATAAAAGGTTTACCAATAGTTTGTAATTTATTTATTAATTAGGTTGTGAACTTTATAAATCATTAATAAGCTTTTATAAGACTTGAGATGAGATAAACAGAGCAACTGTGACCGGTTGCTTGCCAAATAGTGAGCCAACATTTATCTGTACTGCTAAGCCTTATATTGGCTACTTAGCTTACTTCGTCTTCTTCATCAGCCAGCATCCTTGGTATCTGTTGTTCACCGAGTTGATTCTCCCCCTTCCATCTTGATGTTTCTTGGCATCTCTTATGAACATTTATGAATGAGTTACTAACATTTATAACTGCCAAAAGGGAGCCTTATTGTAAAGTGTAAAACAAATCACCATTTATTAATGAGTTACAACCATTTCTAATGGGTAAAAGGGAGCCTAAAGTGTGAAACACATCCCCATCTATTGATGAGTCATTAACATTTATAACTACTGAAAGGGTGCGTTGTTTTTAAGTTTAATACACATGTCCATTTATGAATGAGTTATAACATTCACGCTGACCTAATACACATTTTTCACATGAAATGCAAAGTAAGATGCAAAAGAGCCAAGCAAAACATTTTATTCACACATGAAGAAAATCAGGACTCAAAATAATGACTATTTAGTATGACTGATACACATATTTAAACATAAAAGCTTTTCTCAGACATAAATGAAAGACTAGGTAAGACATAATGGTACTCAGACTGGAAAGGCTTTGTGTATATCCTTGAACAAGCGTCCAAGCAGTCCATCAGGGTGAGCAGAGCCAAGATGACCATTCAAGAACCTTGAGGTGTTTCTCCAACAAACTCTCTGTACGGTTTCCTCTCAGTCTACGGACATGTCCTTTGACGGTCGACCAAGCTCTTTCATTATGTTGGATATGATATGACTGCCAGTCTGGGGGTTCACCAACCAGCTGCTGTGGTTTATGGTGCAGTGGTTGTACCCCATGTTACTCAGCACTCTCCTATGCCCTCCACTCATCACTAATAATGCTACTTCCTGACTTAACATGCCGTCTAATCAGAGGGACAAGGAGGCATCGTGATCGTTTCTCCACTAGTTTCAACACTAGTCTCCGCCTTTTGTCTTTAACTCCCATCATTCCGAAGACCCATTTCTTCCTTCTCCAGGTATGACCAAAGCGTTCACGAGCATACTAACAAAAAATAAATCATAACATCATCTTAGTTAACAACAAAATGCACACAAATTACAGTTGTTGCACATCATGTTTCAAAATGCCATACTTGTTTATTTGGTGCATTGTATAACATAATTGAAGGATAATTATACAGTAATGGTCCATATTGATTTGTTTTATTTATTCTCTTGTACAAGAAAGCCCAGTCTATAACTGCCGAACATAGGAACTGGGTACAGTACCTTCTCCCAGACACAAATACTCAAATAAAATGGTTTACTTTATCAGCATTGGTGTTACCAATGCTTACTATTTATTTGATACCAATTTGGTAATACAATTAATAAAAAGAACAAGGTCTGGGTTCGTTCTTCAGATATGACTGTGACGTTAACGTGTAAACTCAATAATGAACTCCAGCTCAACCAACCATATTGTAATATCAAAGTAATCAACTTGAAATATGACATTATTATTTGTAATATACACACATCTTATTGTGAGGTTGATTTCACATACACTACGCCGCTCTTCAACACTACTTTGACGTTAGCTTGTCTACATAATCGATCATAGCGAATTTAAATTAACCTTAGCGATGCATAAAGTTACCTACCTAATAAAATATCTCTCTAACTTACAAGAATTACCTTATTTTATCAACCTCAAACAGAAGCCGTCTGTTCTACAGTATTATCCAACTTAATGCTTAACATTTCTCTATTACGTTTTAACTTGGAGGCTACGATTAGCATCGTTAGCACAGATGTAGCTACCACTTGCTTAAAGGTGGGGTAGGTAATTTTGGAGAAACCAGCTCGAGTGCGCTAGAATTTGAAAATACACAGCCGGAAAAAATCTGCCACTTCCTTACAGAGCCCCTCCTCCAACACACACGAACGTGCACATGACCAATGAGGGCACGAGATAAGTTTGTGCACCGATGGAAGGCTGACAGGCAGATAGGCCATCCAGTTATTTTAGCCGGGCCGGCTAAAATGATTGGTCGTGCTTTTTACAGTACTACGGCTTCCACAGATGAATTTTTTTTATGGATTTTTTAAGCACTTAAGATATTCATTGCTATCGGGATGTTAAGAGCATTCCATGGAATATAACAAAAAGTGTATCTCGAGCCGGTTTCTCAAACTTACCTACCCTACCTTAAATGCTAACCCAAGCCTTAACATTCATTAACGTTAGCTGACTAAAAACATAAGCAACACATAAATAAAGTACTCGAATTTCACTTACCGCAAAACCGCATTCATGCACCGTCTGTTTTAACCGCAGAGCGAGTCACAATAGTCCGATATAAGCATGAAGAATAGTCCACAAGGCACCAGCACAACAAACACGACCGAGTTCAAGTTATGTTCCCCGGATGAGTTGAGCAGGCTGAGTCCCTGTAGCATCACGGAGCTGCTAGCAGATCGCTGGACATACCTGTCACTGTGACCACGTCCTAATGTATGCATAACTTTAAGGCTTAATATAACTTAAACAAATTATAAATGGTAGTAACTCATTAATAAATGGTGATTTGTTTAACACTTTACAATAAGGCTCCCTTTTACCAATTATAAATGGTAGTAACTCATTAAAAAATGGGAATGTGTTTAACACTTTACAAGGCTCCCTTTTGGCAGTTATAAATGTTAGTAACTCGTAAATAAATGGTCATAAAGAGATGCCAAGAAACATCAAAATGGATGGGGGAGAATCAACTCAGTGAACAACAGATACCAAGGATGCCGGCTGATGAAGAAGACAAAGTAAGCTATTACCAATATAAGGCTTAGTCATCTTGCCAAATAGTGAGCCTGTGTTGATCTATGTTACAACTGGTTTATAAATGGTTCTTAATGATTAATAAAGTGTTAACAACCTAATTAATAACCTAATTATAAACCCTTTATGAATCCTTTATAAGCGTAGTCTTATTGTAAAGTGGTACCAAATGTTCTTAATGACATTTCGACAAACTACACTATCACTCTTTTTGTTATTTGTTACCATACTATACTATGATTTGTTATGACATTTCAGCGTACTACTTTTTTTTTACCATACTATACTATCAATTGTATTCTAGTTTATGCTATAGTCATACTATACTAGGCCATTTAGTCATGATATTTTCGACATACTATACTTTTATTTTTATTCAGGATATCTGCCATATACTATAAAATGAGTTTGTATCTTAATGTTCAACATGCTTTGATAAACCTTTTTTTGTTACATTGTTCTTTTTTCATGATATTTCCGAAATACTACACTATGATTTTATTCATGATACTATACTTTCACTTTTTATATTTATATTTTTTGATCAAACTTTTTTTGTTTTATACTATTGTTTTAGACTTTTAAATTATATTTTCGATATACTATACCATGTATTTTTCATAACATATTTTCAATATACTTTAGTTTAGTTTTTCAACATAATAAACTAGAACTTTTTCCTATATTTTGTTGACATTCATATTATAGACTAATCCACATTTATTGGTTAAGATGAATATATTTGTTTCTACAATGTTAAGTAGAACCAGACAATAGAGCTTCCAATATTCTGACCTAAAGAACAATAACTTCAAAATGTTACAGTAATTTCAGTCCTGTACTTTGGTAAATGTATATCCTATCCAACACTTTTCAGAATATATTGTAGTCACAGATGTTCATGCTGTTATTTTGTGACACTTCCAGCCACATCTTTGAGAGAACTGCTTATCTCGTCATTTCAAGAAAGCCAGCGAATGCTACACGAAGCCTCTCTCCACTGCAGACAAAGGTGATGAATCATCAAATGACTTTTTAAAGTTTCAACTGAAACAGTATGTATTCAGCAGGGGACAGACAAAAAAAAACCCTTTCTTTTATCTGTCCATTTCCAGACGAAGCTCAGCCTCCTCTTCCATGCATGTGTCTCCATTCCTTCGGCAAACGGAGCCCGAGACCCTGGAGAATTCCCGAGCTGCAGAGCTTTTTCAAACAACACTGCACGTCCTCGACAACAGAGCGAGACAGAGATATAAGAGGGATGTCATGGCACCAGGTAGAGTTGATTTATTATTTAAAATCTAGTTTACCTTAAGAGAAAGGCACCATAGTCAAAACAACACCTATTGTGATTGGTCCTAATTTGGCCATTACCATTATTCATACCAATATAACAGATTACCAAAAATGGGATAATTCAAACCATGCCTGCAAAGAGTCCATCCTTTATAAAGGAAATGACCATTAAACGGGGGAGCTTTTCCAATTACAGTGTGTGTCTTTCAGGTTAGCAAGATTCAATTTGAAGTTTTCTAGTTTCACCTTCTTCTTATTTATAGACACATTCATATTTCAAGCTTTTGGAATACCTACAGTATGTTGTAAATGTATTTTCTTTTTAATTTACACATGACATCTATTGCACGTCTGTCTGATAGGGATCCTCCTCTGTTGCTCTCCCTGAGGTTTCTTCCATTTTTCCCCATTAACTGTTGGGTTTTTGGAAGTTTTTCCCTGTCAAATGTGAGCGTCCAAGGACAAAGGGTGTTGTATTCATATTCTGTACAAACTGTAAAGTCCACTGAGACAAATGTAAAAATCTGTGATACTGGGCTATATATAAATAAACTTGAATTGAATTTTTGCTCCGTCACAATGCTAGGACTGCTCTCATGGGAAGACGTGGAGCTGATTGCCGAGCTGTCTCGATGTCCTCCTGTGACACATCCAAACATCTGTCATCAAAGTCACCTCAACAAATACAGCTCCATATCTGGCCTCTGCAATAACAGGTAACTCTCCATCTTTTGGTAAGTCGAAGAGGCTCGACTATATTGTTATAAAGGAATAAATATTGTATTAGAGTCCACACAGAATCTTCGTGGGACTTAATGAAGGAGGTTCTGAAAAGAGATGGGATGTAGAAGTCATTTATCCCATGTTGGTGTTGTTGATTTTACTGTGTCATACACAATGTGCACCCAAAAGGCAAATACAACGTATTTTAATTAGCAGTTTATGAATTTATGTAGAAACTGTATATTATGCTTCTACCCACCACTGGGAATTACCTTACGTTTTTGCGAAAACCTAATGCCTGTCTGAATTACAACCAATTGAATGTAAAAACGGGAAACCTTTTATTATTATTTTTGTTATCATTTCGATGTTATTGTTAATTGCAGATACACTATAATAAGTAAAACAGTGATACGGTGCAAAGACAATGCACAAAACAATAGAATTAGGGGTGGGGGAGGAATGGCAGTGTCATTTTATTTTATGAATTGTGTTCCCATTTAACAACTAGTGTAGCCATGGGAACACATGCCTGTTCATGGTGTTGCAGCAGTGCATTAAGTATTTTTCTTGCCACAGTTCATGGTCTACTCCAAAACAGAAAACTTACTTTAATTATCATTATTTTATTTATTTATTTTTTACATGACTCACTATACATGGGTCCAATAGTGGCTTCTTTCTTATTAGAAAGTAGAGCGGCCTAGATGATGTAAGTCCAGAAATGGCCTGATAGTAACTGATCAAATGTATGTATGTTTGTATTAATATATGGCAACATAAGACACCAGTTTTAACAGCAAATTCACACATTCATGAACTGACTACCACCTGATTTGTCAGTGAGTATAACAAAAATATGAAGCAAATCTCGCAATTAGTTACCTAGCATATTGGTACAAATGTAGTGTTATAAACTCCTCATGACCTTTTGGAAGGAAATAAATGATGTTGTATTTGTTGATGGCATATTCTGTTTGTGCTGCTGTATTTTTGGGAACGCTTCATGATTCTTTTTGTCAGGCAAAATCCTCTCAGGGGAGTAGCCAGCACTCCCTTGGTCAGATGGCTTCCAGCTGAATACGAAGACGGAGGGAGAGAGCCCAAGGGCTGGAACCAAGGACGGCTCCATAATGGATTCCAACTTCCCCCGGTAATCTGCTCAATGCTGGTCCAGCGGACACAAACAGTCTTGGTGGAGACATTAGAAAGTGAAGCGAGCTCACCCTGCAAACCCAAGTTAATGTAGCTTTCTATTTCTTGTCCCAACCTGTTTCACAGCAGATAAAGTCCGCAGCTTTGGAACAGCAGAAGTGTGTGAGATGGCACAGATTACAGTTTCATTTCAATATTGTGGCCTTTGCTTTAAAAGACACTATTTCCCAAGCTATAAAAGTATATTTCCAGTCATGGGGATAAACAGTGTAACGGAAATTAAACGGTTTTGCGGGGTCATTTGGGGGAAGAAAATATTTTGTAACCAGCACGTAGTTTATCTGCATATTAGAGGTAAAAGGTATCCAAAGTAATTTATAAAGATGATCTCAATTAAGTATTGGCTAATACATGTATTGAATGTAATAAGTATACTTTCTTAAGGAGATAATAAGGGTATGAAAGAAAAGAGGCTTGCCTGAACATATCCAACCCCTTTTATGACTTTTAGTAATGTATCCATTTCTCATAGAGGAAAGAAAATGATATTAGTACCACAACATACTGTAAGGCCATAAATAATTGCATGAATAAATACATGTAAGATAATTATCAAAAAGCACATAAATAAATATATCTTTAATGTATTTTTACATTCTTGTTTTGAGTCATCACCCCTGACGGTAAAAATAAGTACTTGTTGTCGTCCAAAATAATATAATCTTTCTGTTTTAACAGCCATGGGAAGTCAGCAAGAAAATAATGAGGAGCTCGTCCAAACTGAAGGACGATGTCTATTCTCACATGCTAGTGGAGTGGGGCCAGTACATCAGCCATGACATGACCATGACCCCTCAAATCAAAGGCGGAGCCGGCCTTTGGAGTGATGTGGACTGTTTGAAGACATGTCAAAATGTGCATCCGTGCTTTCCCATTGAGGTAAGCACAACAGTCCTTAAACATTTTCATTTGTCTTGTTGAGACTTAGATCAATAACCGCCTCACTAGCAAGGACCATACAGTTCTACAACCATATGTCAGTTGGAGATTTATTCACAGGACATATCGAATGGAAATGGAAAGGGATAAAAGGATGAGAGATGACGCCTGTCAGTCTGGTCTGAAGGATGAACTGAAGCCAACTCAGAGGAGAGACTTAGGGTGGGAGTTCGGTCCCATGGCGTGTTTCTGTCCAATCTGAATAGATTAGGGATAAGGGGAGACATGGAGAGGGGATGTAGGGATGTAGGGATGTAGGGATGAAGTGATGAAGTGATGAAGGGTCAAATGGATACAGGAAGGGAGGGAAGGGTGAAGCTTTGAAGAGATGTTGTGAAGCAGGGATGAAGGGTTAATATGATAAATGGATGAAAGATGTAAGGAGAGAGTGATGACTTGATGAAGGGATGTAGGGAGGGGGGGTGAAGGGTCGAAGGGGGTTAGGGAGGGAGGGAAAGGGATGAATGGTTGAAGGGATGTACTGTAGAGAGGAAAGAACGGACAGCTGTAGGGAGGGGGGGATGAAGGGTTGAAGGGATAGAGGGAGGGAGGAATAAAGGGAGGTAATCAGGGATGAATCAACCAAGGGATGTAGGGAGAGAGGGATGTAGGGAGAGAGGGATGAAGGGATGTAGGGAGAGAGGGATGAAGGGATGTAGGGAGAGAGGGATGAAGGGATGTAGGGAGAGAGGGATGAAGGGATGTAGGGAGAGAGGGATGAAGGGATGTAGGGAGAGAGGGATGAAGGCAGGGAAGGGATGCACGGTGAAAATGGTGAAGGGTCGAAGGAATGTAGGGAAGGTAGGAATAAAGGGATGTAATGAAGGATGAATGCACAACGGGATGAAGTTTATTTATATAGCACCTTTCAACACAAGGCAATTCAAACAGTTTTACAAAAATGAAAGACATTAAGAAAATGGCATTTAAAAACAGTCATTAAAAAGAAAAGATAATAAAAGAAACATTAAAAGAAAAAATACATGGATAAAAGTTACAGTGCAGTTTAAGATGTGAATAGCTCAATTAAAAGCGGCGACAAAAAGAAAAGTCTTCAGCCTGGATTTAAAAGTAGTAAGAGTTGCAGCGGACCTGCAGGTTTCTGGGAGTTTGTTCCAGATATTTGGAGCATAATAACTGAACGCTGCTTCTCCATGTTTAGTTCTGACTCTGGGGACAGAAAGCTGACCAGTCCCTGAAGACCTGAGAGTTCTGGATGGTTCATTATTTAGCAGCAGATCAGAAATGTATTTTGGGCCTAAACCATTCAGTGCTTTATAAACCAGCAGCAGTATTTTGAAATCAATTATTTGACACACAGGAAGCCAGTGTAAAGACTTCAGAACAGGAGTGATGTGATCCACTTTCTTAGTGTCGGTAAGGACTCGAGCAGCGGCGTTCTGAATTAGCTGCAGCTTTCTGATAGATTTCTTAGTGAGACCTGTGAAGACACCATTACAGTAGTCCAGTCTACTGAAGATAAAAGCATGGACAAGTTTTTCCAAATCCTGCTGTGACATTAGTCTTTTGATCCTCGATATATTAGGATGAATGAATGTTGGGAGGGAGGGATGAAGGGTCAAGCGATGAATGGATGAAGGGATTTGTGAATGAAGGGACAACACAACTACATTGATCAGGAGTTGCTCTGGATGGTAACAGATTGTAACAAATTATTTCATGTTCTCCACAGACAGGTGATTCTATCAAAGCTGCACGAGGTTGCATGCCTTTTTTTCGCTCCAACGCAGCCTGCGCCATCCATCGTGGCTCAGATATTCGACAAGCTCTGCAGCGACAGCAGATGAACGGCATCACATCGTTCATAGATGCTTCGACCGTGTACGGCCACAGTCCAAGGCTGCAGAGCTCCCTCCGTGACCTCTCTGGCCTCGATGGGAAGCTTGCTGTCAATGACCAGTTCAGGGATCACACAGGAAGAACATACCCTCCATCCGTCGCCAATCTGCCATCCGCCTGCCGCCAGGGTCCGCACGTGGAGAGAGTCGAATGTTTCAGAGCTGGAGACAGTCGGCTGAATGAGGGTCTGCCCCTGATCTGTCTGCACACACTGTGGCTCAGGGAACACAACCGGATCGCAGAGGCACTGAAACACATCAACAGTCATTGGAGCCCGGAGACTATTTACCAAGAAACTCGCAAGATTGTCGGAGCACTGCATCAGGTATGTGACGAGCAGCTTAACATGTTTAAAAATATGCAAAAACAAAAACCTCTTGAAGCATTAAAGTATATTATTTAGTTTCCAAGTAACCTGCTGATTATGTATTTGAGTTATTGAAAATCGACAATTTAATTGCGTGCAAAACTTTCTTTTAATAGTATGTTTAGCACTTTATGCAAGAATCAAGATTCAAGGCTTTATTGTCATGTGCACATTAGCTACAGTGTAGATATGGCAATGAAAAACTTAAGACACAGGGTCCTCCAACAGTGCAACATGAATAGGACATAGAACAAATAAAATAGATAAAATAGTGCAAGAGAATGAAAAAATTCAGAATAAATGTCAGTTGCAATTTCAGATTGTGTGGTAAATAAATAATGCATAGTTCTTGATATTGTAGCAACCAGATGTAACAGCATAGTCACTGTGCTGCAGTAAGGTTAACCATGGCCTGTTTTTTAAAACTGGACAAAATTAGTATTTACAGCTTAAGACCCGAGAGACCCCGGTACCGGGGCACTGCCGCAACATTTTGCAGGAAACAGTGTCTGAGGGCATGTTCATTTAATAAACTATGAATGTTTTATATCCATGTAACGGGAAGAAACTCATCTAACTGATGATTTTTATTTTTTTTTCAAAAGAAAACCCACAATGCTAACACTGAGCCTCTGAATTAGCAACGAGCAAAAAATGCTAACAGATTACTGCACCGAAAATCACTCACAAAACCTTATTTATCTTTTCTCTACATCCATGACATCGATTCACATCGTGAGGTGACACAGAATCGAAGGGTACCCTCATTATCACTGAATTATACGAAATCGCGACGTTATAAACAAAAACAGACATCAAAACAGGTGGCGCTAGGTAGCTAAAAATGCTAACATGGTTACCTTGGCTCTGTAGTTTCTCCAAAGTGGTCTTCAATGGCATTAAAATGATAAAAACGCTGCTGAAGTTAATCCATAGGTTAATCCAATGTGTCTGTGTCCCTTTGAAATGATTTCTGATAATCCATAAGCAATGAGACTGATAATCCATGCTTTTCTGTTTCTAGATGTCAGAGCTAGAGTGTAGCTTCACTCTAATGCAAAATTACCTGAAAAACAGGCTCAGGGTTTAACAGGTTAAACTACTAGCATTTACTACTTACGTACTTAAATTCACATGCAGAATATCCACCATTAGAAAACCATTTTCCAAAAAGTCCAAGATCCACCAAAATAGTTACGGTGTGAATGCTTGTGATTCAGGGCAACATAATAAGAAGAAATGAAATGGAAGTTTTACATTGTTTGCTGGCTTTAAGAGAAAGAACAGCAGCATTTTTGAAAGAAACATGGATTAGGTGAATGATGCAAATTATGGACATGATGCAAGGTCCTACTTGCTGTGGTTTTTCTGTACACTAAATACATTTGATGAAGGCAGGGGAAACAGCTGTGTGACGAAAACAAAGGCAAACATGATTTACTGCTGTAGAGTTTCTATTAACAAACACAAATTATGAACAAACTAATCCAACATTCACATGTGTGGTGAATTTATAATGATGAGATGTCAGGAGTGCGAGTGTGTTGCACTTATTAAAGAATGTCAAACTGATAAAAAGACAAAGTGAGGCCTGTTGTTTACAAGAAAACAAGATGTTCTTCTTTTATGAAGTGTGTCGTGACTTAAGGTCATTGAAGCATTCACACAGAAGAGAAAAAGAAATAGCCTTGACTGGAGCTTTTTCAGAAAGAATTCTTGCATTTATTGCTACAAATGTAGACTGCGCAGCAATGTCCTACAGTAAAGATTTACTAAAGCAATGTAATGAATGATGTGTTCACATAAGCACATCAAATTCCGAGCACATTATTTGAAAGGCCACCGATGATTTGTGGAAATTAATTTGAGAAACTTAATTTTAGAAAATTCTAAAGGAAACATGTACAAAATAAATGCTATTAAGTTAACTTAAGCCTTAGTACATTAACTCAAAACAACATATTTGTTTAACTGTTAGTCAAAAGAACCTTTCGCCACAAATTACAATGACTGATAATTCATTTAATATATTGGAATTTGCATAGCACAACATATAAGAAATAAATCTTTCTAAAACATTATTTAAATGATTTTCTGGAACTTTTTTATCCTGTCAAATAATATTCATCATAAAATTGAGTTATTCGACAGACAAGGAATAGAAGTTTAAAATAATATATGTTTAGATGTCTGTATGTATGTGAATTGCCATGTTTGTGTCAGGGTTGAGTGAAGCAGGCAGGACCCAAATGCAGATTCCCAAGATAATTTCTTTAATCCAAGGTAACAAAGTAGACAACAGAACACTACCCTGTGACAGTCAAAGACAAACAAGGAACCAACAATGACAGACAGAAAAACCAGAACTAAAATACACACAAGACCAATCACACAAACAAGACACAGGTGAGGAGGGAGGAGAAAACACAGGGGCACCAGGTGAACACAATCGGGCAATCAGGCAGGAGGGAACACAGAGACAGGAAGCAACAGGCAAGACGGGCGGGAACACTTTTCAAAACAAAACAGGAAACCAAAGACAGAAAAAGACAAGACAAAACACAACACAGACAGATCGTGACATTACCCCCCCCCTCAAGGGACGGATCCCAGATGTCCCAAAAAAGCCCCAAAAAGTCCAAAACCTCTAGAAGGGTGGGCGAAGGGGGCCCGGAGTAGGGACGCACAACCAGGACCAAAAGGGTGGGTGGAGGGGGTCCGGAGGACGGGCCCGGAAGGGGTCCCGGGCGGACGGCCCGTGGGCAAGGCAGAGTCCAAAAAGGGGCGAAGGCCACAGCGAGCGAACTCAGGGGCCCGGGCATGAGAGCGAAGGCAGTGGCTGGAAGATTCAGGGGGCCGGGCTCGAGGGCGAAGACCACGGCTGGGGAACTCAGGAGGCCGGGCTGGAGGGCGAAGACCGCGGCACTCAGGGGGCCGGGCTCGAGGGTGAACAAGAAGGCGTCGACGGGACAGCTCCGGAGGACGGGCAGGAAGGCGCTGACGGGACAGCTCCGGAGGCCGGGCAGGAAGGTGCCGACGGGACAGCTCCGGAGGCCGGGCAGGAAGGTGCTGACGGGACAACCCCGGAGGACGAGCAGGAAGACGCCGACGGGACAGCTCCGGAGGCCGGGCAGGAAGGCGCCGACGGGACAGCTCCGGAGGCCGGGCAGGAAGGCGCCGACGGGACAGCTCCGGAGGCCGGGCAGGAAGGCGCCGACGGGACAACTCCGGAGGCCGGGCAAGACCCAGTATCGGCCGGACAGGAACCGGAGCCGACGGGACAGGCGTAGACGGGATCCTGAACATGACATGGGCTGGTGTCAATGGGACCCCGGATGGAGCAAGGGCTGGTGTCGACTGGACCCCCAACGGAACAGGACACAGAGTTGGCAGGACCCCCGGCGGGACAGGTGTCGGCGGGACCCCCAACGGAACAGGACACAGAGCTGGCAGGACCCCGGCGGGACAGGTGTCGACTGGACCCCCAACAGAACAGGACACAGAGTTGGCAGGACCCCCGGCGGGACAGGTGTCGGCGGGACCCCCAACAGAACAGGACACAGAGCTGGCAGGACCCCCGGCGGGACAGGTGTCGGCGGGACCCCCTACAGGACAGGATCTGGTGTTGGCAGGAAACCCGGCGGAGCAGCAGTCGGCGGGACCCCCAACGGGACAGGACATGGGGCTGGCAGGACCCACAGCGGAACAGGTGTCGGCAGGACCCCCAACGATACTGGACGTGGAGTTGGCAGGACCCTCAGCGGAACCCCCAACGGCACAGGACACAGGGTTGGCAAGACCCCCGGCAGAAGAGTAGTCGGCGGGACCCCCAATGGGACAGGACATGGAGTTGGCAAGACCCCCGGCAGGAGAGTAGTCGGCGGGACCTCCAACAGCACAGGACATAGGGTTGGCAGGACCCCCGGCAGAAGAGTAGTCGGCGGGACCCCCAATGGGACAGGACATGGAGTTGGCAAGACCCCCGGCAGGAGAGTAGTCGGCGGGACCTCCAACAGGACAGGACACAGGGTTGGCAGGACCCCCGGCAGAAGAGTAGTCGGCGGGACCCCCAAAGGGACAGGACATAGGATTGGCAAGACCCCCGGCAAAAGAGTAGTCGGCGGGACCTCCAACGGCACAGGACATAGGGTTGGCAGGACCCCCGGCAGAAGAGTAGTCGGCGGGACCCCCAATGGGACAGGACATGGAGTTGGCAAGACCCCCGGCAGGAGAGTTGAGACCTTAGCAGCAAGGTTTGACATGTGTAGAGCCATGGACTGATTGCTTTCAACTAAGGCTCGCATCATCTGCTCATGTTGGCCCAGAAGATTTCCCTGATGAGAAATGGCGTGCTGGACCGGAACAGAGGCCGGAACCATGGCTGCTGGGGCCAGAACTGGGGCCGGAACCATGGCTGCTGGGGCCAGAACTGGGGCCGGAACCATGGCTGCTGGGGCCAGAAATGGGGCTTGAACCATGGCTGTGTGGGCCGGTTCTGGAGCCGGAACTATGGCTGCTGGGGCCTGTACTGGAGCCCAAAGCATGGCTTCTGGGGCTCGGGCTGCTAGCCTGGACTTGCGACTCCTTCTCTTAGGAGCCTTTTGGAGGCTTCGTGGACCTCCAAAAGCCAGACGAGTGCCCGAGAACGGCTCCTGGACAGGAGCAGGAAATGGGGAAGAAGCAGGGGTTGACTCCAGACGGAACACACCGAGATGTATGGTGTCAGGTTGGGAGTTGGGAGGCAGGGGGCTAGCATGCCTGGGGCTAGCAGGCCGGGCACGTCGAAAGGAAATCCAAAATCCAGTCAGGTAAGAACTTAACTAAAGATGGATCCACTGTTGCCACCTGGTGAGCCTCTGCCAGAGCAGCCTCTTTCTGCTGAACACTGGACGCTCCCCTCCACCTACCATAGCAGCAAGCCAAAGAAAAGGTAAAATGTTGTAAATCCACCTCAAATG